GAGAGCGCGCGTTGGGGGCGGGGCGAGGCCGCGGGCGGAGCCCGGTCGCCCCGGAGCTGGCCGTCCAGTTCCGGTCGGGCCGCGGCCCGGAGGCGAGGGGCTGTCTGCACACTGGCCGCGAGACAGCCCTAGAGAAACACGGGATTGTCACTGTCGATTCTAAAGCACGGGACTGCGAAATCGGAGAGCTCCGCTTCCAAAGACGACGGCAAACTCACAGGGAGGGAGGACAGAAGGGGACGTTTTCATCTCTGTCTTCCATTGCTGTGAATGTGGGTAAGGATGAGAGGGTAACCGCTCATGGCGGTGGAGAGTGCAGAAGTGTCTGGTCTGAGCCGAGCCCCTGCCTTGGTGGATGGAAAAGGGGTCCCCTACTAAACCTCACAAGCTCAGGAGAGGCCAGCATGGCGGTCCCTACAGACCAGAGACAAAGGTAATCACGTAGGATGGCCGAACGTAAAAATTCCTAACTAAAGCCAGCCACGGCTGGCACTCAAGTCGTGGGCCTGTAGCTTTCTTGACAGTCTTTACCTTAGGTGAGCGTGGCCTGTCCTTTCGCATCTAAGATAAGACACCCTTGGAATGTCAGAAGAATCCCTTTTTTCCAGACCCCTCAGGGCACAGCCCACCGCACCGGAACAGGAAACCACAGAAACCCTCCTGATTCTCTTGTGCCCCGCAGACCATCCCTGTGTGCTGTAAATGTCAATTATTAACTCTCCTGCACCCACCCACATACGAGAAGTGTGTCCCTCCGTTTCGCTTTTTATCCAATCCCAGAAATTTTCCCCCTTTGCTTTCTACCCCTTAATCTACCACCCATGGATATCATGTCCTACTCCTTATGTCTCCTTTGATTCTGATGTACAAAATAAACTGCAAAACTGTCATTCTCTGGAGCATTTTCTTAATTTGTTGACATTTAGCTTCCTGGCAATTGTCAGTTGGGCTCAAATAAACTCATTAAAATTTCTCTACAGGTTCGGATGTTTCATATATCAACATCATCTAGAAAGTGCTCGGTAATGTTTGCGGTTGTTAGGGACATCCAGGCTGCTGGGGCATTATTCAGGTGACATTGCGCACTAGGAGAGTCTCTGCCTTTCTTCTCTTACAAGGACACCTTTCCCACGCGATAATCCCAACCTCACAACCTCAGCTAGACCTAACACCTCCCAAAAGGCCCATTCCAAATACCATCACGCTGGGGCTCAGGACTTAAGCATACCTTGGGCGGACACAAACATTCAGCCCATAACAAGCTAGGAACTATATTTCTCAGAATTTCTTCTATGTTTTGCCAATGACGGGCACTGGTACGAAATTTGGAGGCCACTGTTTTGGGGAGGCAGTCGCAGCCAGAAATGTGGTAGATGAAATCGACTTTCCTAGTGAGCTTTTGAGAGCCATCTGCTTCACTGCTGCAGACCAAAAGATCGGTGAGGGCTTTCTAGGGTTGAGGATGGCAGTGGCTTCCCCTCCAGCTCCTAAGACCCCCGGTTCAGTGCTTGGGCTGAGGGCCTCGGCAACAATCTCCCTGACCTCCTCACCCCCACCCCCAGTTCTTTCAGTGGTTGCTTGCAAGCCTCTGATGACAGTATTACGCAAGACAGCGAAAGTAGCTTTGTTTTCCTGAGTAACCCCCCCTCCTTGATTTGGTTCTGAGTTTCGGAAGGGTGATAGATCATATTATCATTTCCAATCATTTGCTTTTTTCCTTGATGTTGAGCTTGGCCACATGACTTCCAGACACTGGTGTAAAGTAATCAGAGCTGACATAGCACACGTTCAGGCTTTCTTCACCCTGAGTCTTGGAATGAAGACATACAGCTGACAGCACCAGCGAGAAATAAAATATTTTGACTCTGAGTCACTGAGACTTCGGAGTCCCTTGTTACAACAGCACAGCCTAGTGAAAGCCCATGACACAAAGCCTAGTACGTAATATCACCTTATGTTGATAATATCCCTTTGTCTGATTGATGTCTTGTTCTAAAATGTCATCTCTTTGCCTTCAAAAGGATGAAGGGATGGGAGTACACAAGAGACAAGTCTCAGGACAGCCTCACATCGCAGCTGTGGGCTGAGCTTAACGGGCAGACGGAGGGACACCATGCGGTGCATCATCTTGCGAATGCACAGCGTTCCGTGAAAATGGAGGGGACCTGGCTGGTGGGGCCTCGCGTGCTGCGTGGCGGTGATGATGGGGTGCCTTTCTAATGGCAGAAACTGCTAAACTAGTACAAGTGCAGTCGAGTTCATTATTAAGGTACTGCAAGCAAGTTTGCTTCCACCTCTCATGTCATGTCTCTCTTTATCAAGATGCCATTAACCGCATGCACCAGAATTCAGGCCCATCTGTGGCTTAAATCTTCAAGGTATTTAATTATCTCACATAACATGAAGTCCAGATTACGCGGCCCACAACTGTTTCTCCTACTCGGTGATGTCAAAGGACATCAGCATCTTAGCAATTCTCTTAGCTTTTCCCTCCTGGTCTCAGGGCAACTGCAGCTTCTCCAGGCACCCGGTCCTGACCTCATGGCCCTGTCGTGGGCCTGGGAGAGCCTTTGCACCTGGACATCGTCTCCTTTGTGCTCTGCTGCCCTGACAAGGCTCAGGCCTGACGCACCAGCGTGCGTGGGGCTCTTTACACTGCCATGGAGGCCTTCTGACGGGCAGGTGTCCACTTCATGGAGGAGGTGGTGGGATGCTGGGTCCGAGTGTGCCTGGTCCTAAGGTGATCATTGCCAAAACTGGCTGGTGAGCCCCTGGGGTTCATTTGGTGCTCTCCTTTGGTGTGTTTGAGATTTATCATTAAAAACAAAGACGCTAAAATCCTTTCGCTGTTCTCAGTATGTTGCACCCTCCCACTCACAGGAAACGTGTCAGACATTGCCACCATCTACCAAGTCTCTCAGCTGGGCTCCCATAACAAGCCCCACAGATGGGGTGGCCTGAACGGCGCCAGATTTATTTTCTCATGGTTCTGGAGGCAGGAGTCCAAGATCAAGGCCCCAGAAAGGTTGATGTTTGGTGGAAGCTCTCCCTTTGGGTTGCAGATGGCTGTGTCCTCACCTGGCCTTTTCACTGCACAGGTGTGGAAAGGCAGAAATCTCTAGCATCTCTTCCCTTTGATTACCTCTCATCACACTGGGGGTTAGGGATTCAACCTGTGAATTTTGGGGGGACATTCAATCCATAGCACTCAACTACTTCCAGAACAATAGAGTGTGCTGGGCACATCACTGCCCATTTGGAATCCATTTCCCAGCCCTCCTTGCAGTTTGACGTGGCCAGGTGACTTACCACCAAAGGAATGTGAGCAGAAGTGGCAGGTGCTCCTTCAGACAGCAGACTGCACTGTTTTGTCTCAGCCTTGTCCATGAAGACAATGGTGAGCCCCTTTGGGAGCAGACAGCATGCTGGAAGGAATCTGTGTCCCTGAGTGAGCCCACGAGCAGGGATGCCGCCCTTGGACTGTTACATATGTAAAAAAGCAAAATTCTATCTTTTCTAAACCACTGGATTTGTTTGGGTTTCTGTTAAAGTAGCTTAGTCTTTTCCTAAAGCACTGTTTCTCAACTGAGGGACATTTTGATTGTCACAATTGGGTGGGGATGCTCATAGCATCGGGTAGGCAGCGGCCAGGGATGCTGCTAGACAGCTTACAAGGCACAGGACAGACCCCCACAGCAAAGAGTATCAAGCACAGAATGTCAGCAGCAGTGAGGTCGAGAAATCCTGTTGTAGAGCATGTAGCTATGACGAGACAGTAAGGGAGCCGCCTCTCATTCAGGTAGCTTCTAAAACAGCGTCTCTGTAAGAGAATTTGTCAGTTTTCTTATGTGAGTGAAAGATAAACATGGGAGAAGTTATTTTCAATATGACACACAAAGGGCATGATATATGATTATTCTCTATAAGAATTATTTCTCTGTGGATAATGTATAAAGGACATAAAACGATAGAACTACAAATAGCCAACAATATGTTTAAACATTGAACCTCACTTAAATACAAGTTAAAACACTGAGATTGGTTTTTGGGTTATTTTTTCTCATCATGTTAGCAATGATCAAAAAGCCTGATGAAATCTAGGGTTAAAAGTGTAGAAACATCCTTAGTGGAGCGTCAACTCATTCAAAAGTATCAGCATTTAGAACACACACTGCTCTTCAAGCTAGCGATGTCATTTCTAAGACTATTTCCTGAAGAACCACAACGTGGTAGGTTAAAGATGGCTGTAATTCTTGCCACTCCTCCCACAGAGAGATGGGGTCTCTTTTCCCCTCCCCTCGAATCAGTTAGCCCAAAAGTCTTGCTTGACTAATAGAATGTAGTGAGGTGATGTCTTGAGATAACCAAGATGAAGTCACAAGGGTCTTGTAGCTTCCACCTAGGCCTCCCGAACAATCTGGAAGCCCACATCAGAAGTACTACCACCTGGGACTGCTGGGCTGGAGGCTACAGGTAGGCACTCTGACCCAATATACCCGCTGAATGCAGCCTTCCAGCCACCGCAGTCATCTCTATGGTACCACAAAGAACAGAAGAGTCACCCAGCTGAGCCCTGCTGGAATGCCTGACTCATAAAATTGCGAACTATGATAAAATGGTTCTTTTAAAACACTGCGTTTTCAGGTCACTTATAATGCAGCAGTATGCAACTGGGACACATACCTACAGCTATGTGAACCAGTGTTCACCAGAGCACTGTTCATAATAACACTGTGTGTCTGTAAGGAGTTGGTTAAAGTGTGGTACACCAGCATAATGAATTTTATCTAGTAAACGGGATGAAGTAGAACTGAGCAAAACGTGGTGAGAATTCATAAAGCATATCAGGTGAAAGATGTACAGAGTGGAAATGTGAATAGTGTGTGACTCACCAATGTGAAAAAAAACCCAGCTCGACTGAAAAATGGGTGAAAGATCTGAAGGGACAGCTCAGCCAGGAAGACATACACATATGCATGTGAAAGGCGCTCAATATCCTGTCCTTAGGGAAGAGGAAAGAAAATGAGACACCTCTACACACCTGTTGGACTGGCCACAGTCCAGAACGCTGACGGCACCAAACGCTGGCGAGGACGTGGAGCAGCAGTAACTCTCGCCCACTGCCGGTGGGGATGGGCGATGATGCAGCCATGCTGGAAGATGGTGTGCCATTTCTCACAGAACTGAATGTAATTGTACAGTACGACCCAGCAATCACACTCCCTGGTATTTATCCACAGGGATCGAATACTATGTTCAAATAAAAACCTGTACACAAACGAATATAGCAGCTTTATTCGCAATTGACAAAACTTGGAAACAACCAAGATGTCCTTCAGTAGGTGAATAGATATACTGTGGTATTACCAATGAAATAATCAGCATTGGAAGAAAGGAGCTATCAAGCCAGGAAAAGACAAGGAGGAACCTAAATGTAAATTACTAAGTGAAAGGAGTCACTCTGAAAAGGATACATACTGTATGTTTCCAACTATATGACATCACAGAAAAGGCAAAACTATATATACAGTAAAAAGATGAGTGTTTGCCAAGATTCATAAGGGACACGGAGAGGGATCAATAGATGGAGCACAGGGAATTTTTAGGGCAGAGAAACTATCCTGTGTGACACTGTAATGGTGGGTACTTAGTATGATTGTACAGCAGAGAACCCTAATGTAATCTTTGGACTTGAGTTAACAACAATGTATCAATATTGTTTCATCAATATTGTAATAAATATACCACAGAAACATAAAATGTTTATAATAGTGGAAACTGTGTATGTGTGGAAGGGGTATATAAGTACTCTATTTTCTTCTCAATTTTTTGTAAACCTGAAAACCATTCTAAAAAATAAAGCCTATTAATTAAAAAAACAGCCTCTTAAAACAATAAAAAAGTGGCTAGCATTTAATTATGTCTGCATGTGTGTGCATAGGTTCTCATCAAGCACTAAATAGGGCCAGAAAGAATGCACCCAAACTGCTACCATTTGGATTCAAAGGTGAACAAGAGCATCACAGTCCTGTACCCAGGGAGTTAAGGAAATTTCAACTTCCTGCATAGTTTGAATTTTTATAATGAACATAAAAATGGCCAAAACATGAATGTTTCCATTTCAAATATCTAACTGGAGTTTAGAGAGTTCAGGAATGGGGGTACATCTTTAAACATGCACTTGCAATAACGAAACTACTGCTCAGGAGTATGCTACTTGTAGGAACCACCACCTTAATCTCAGGGGTCAAGAAGGGGGTGCGGTTCCGGGGCCCAGCCTCCCTCCGTCCAGAGGCCAGTTGTGCCTCGGGCATTCTGAGTGGGCGAAGGTCGCGCAGAGCCCCTTCCGGAGGCGCCCCGTGAGCGGCCAGCGCTGAGCGGTGAGGAGAATCGTGGGCGCTGGCCCGAGTAGCGCCTTAACCCCCAGCTACAAGTGGTGATTCCCGTCACCCCCCGTTTTTCTGCGCGCATCCGGTGCACTCCGGGGACCCTATCGTTCACTGGACCACGTTAGTCGCTCCTTGCAGGCACCTGCTGCGCCCGACCCGGCACACCGGCGGGCGATGGGGCTCCTGGGCTGAGAGTCGGCGCCCACCAGGCCGAACGGGCTGAGGCCCGGAGTGGGGCGCGAGGGGGTGTCCAGGGCAAGCGGGACCCCAGCTCCTACCCCTCCTCGCTACCGCCGGGAACCCCGCTGCGATGCCAGCTCTGCTCCCGCGCGACGCCACGCTCACCCTGCCGACCGGAAGTCAGAGGGCGGGCCGTCTCGCCCGGCCAATCAACGCGCGAGGCTCATTAATAGTGAACGCGCCGGCCCCGCCCTCCACCTCTCGCGGCACCGCCCGCCCGCGCAGACCCAGAGCGCGGCCGCGGACGAAGATGGCGACCGCCATGTACTTGGAGCACC